GTGGCCGGGGGCTGTAGCCAGCCGGTGGGTGCGTTCCATCTGCTTTAGTTGATGCCTGGCTACAGCAGTGGACGCGGCTGTTAAGAAAGAATCCGACCCACCGTTAGCTGACACTGGCATAATTGCGGTGGCGTTCTTTAGTAAATGCCATTCTTTAAATGGCGTTCTCTGTTGTAGAGAAGCAAGCTTTTTAGGGAGTGGTAATTTGTCTTTTCTAGAATAAGTGATATATTTAGAAAAACAGACAAGAGCTTGTGTACCTAACCCTTTTATCGGGCCTAAGGAAAAAGCTGTGTTACGTGTTGGTTGGCATCAGCAACAGAATTTCTCTCATCTCTCTTCACTGTACCAGACCCGAGACGTGTAGGAACTTGAGCTTTCCTCCGCACACTGCCGCTCAGCTGTTGTACTTATTGACACATCTCTGGTCGTAGAAACCTGTTTGCAGTAATTTCAGAAGTGACGGTGTTATTTTAAATACACATTTCATGTTCTAATTTAAGAGGCGTTTCTGTTCTGTGGTGCATCACTTGAGGTGGAAACCTACGTGTGTCTTTATGATCTACTCACAGAAGTAAGCTGGAATGACTGAAGGAGTCTCTGGCCATGGAAAGCAAAACATTAGGGTATATAATTTATCTTACACTTGTTCCACATGTATTCATGCTGGTACTTTCTTAGTATAAACAGGTGCTGAAGGCTTCTCTGAGGCAGCTGGGTTTTTTTCTGCGATGAAATAGTCATGCAGTGAGTAGGATACTGGTATTTGTAAGGTAATAATCTCAGAAGGTGCTGTATGTCACCTAAAGCAAATGCGATTACAGTATTCTTAAATCTCCTGCATGGGAAGGAGTCCTAGATCCAAACTGTCTCTTATTGAATCTTACATGAGTCCATCAGTAGATGTATCGTAATTCCAATACTTTCCCAGCATCCTTTCTTCTTAGGTTATTCAAAATACCTGTAAATATCACCTTGTGAAAAAATAGAACCTTACAGAATCCTAGAATGGTTGAGGTTGGAAGGGACCTCTGGAGATCATGTTGTTAGAGTCCCCTGCCCAAGCAGGTCCGTCTAGAGCAGGCTGCCCAGGACCATGTCCAGTTGGCTTTTCTGTGCCTCCACAAGTGAAGAGGCCACAACCTCTCTCAGGCAAGCTGCAAAGTAAACTAATTTAATAATGAGACATTACTTAAGTTGAAGAAGTTACAGACCACCTATTTTTGAACAGACTTCTCAGGACATCAATGTGATCAGTAAGTATTAAGAGAAAAAGGTGTGCAAGTAAGGTTTTCCAGTGTTAAAATGATACCTTGCTTTAAATAGTTAAATAATTATTATTTCAAAGTTAAGATAATGGAATCCAAAAAATGGACTATAAGGCACATCTAAATTTTTCATCTGAACTTTTCATATAATTCAGATCTAATTCACAATACTGTAGTATAACTATAGATACTGTGACACATAGAGTTACATGTTCAGCATAACAGAATTGCTTAGGATTTGATGAGGCTCGATGTAAATCCAAGACAAGTACCCATCGAAGTAGCTCTTCATATAAAACACTGCGTCATGCTGTATTTGATACGTTCTTACGTGCTGCAATTATTCTTTTCTTAACTGGACGGTGTTCTTTGATCTTTTTCAGGGTTCAGCTGATCCTTTAAACAGTGCATTCCACCTTACGTACAACATGGTATTGAACTTGCTTCGAGTAGAGGAAATTAACCCTGAATACATGTTAGAAAAATCCTTCTATCAGTTCCAGCATTACAGAACTATTCCAGAAATAGTAGAAAGTAAGTATTGCTGTATGCTGTGCTCACGAGAGTCAGGGTGATGCACGGTGGGGTCGTGTAGTGGCACTTCACTACGCTTGTAAGGGTTTATGTCTGTGCAGTTCTTGTCTTCCCCTGCTCACGGTTCTACTGCACCCTTTGCTGTTACGTTATAGTTTCGGGAAGAGTCCTCTTGTTCTTACTGATATGCAGCATCAGTCTGTGAAAGAGCACTTTCCGAGTCAGACAAGAATGGTTGTCACATTGCTAAACTGTAGGACAGGAAGGAGGGAAAACAATTTTGAAATTCCTGTGGTTTGCTAGAGGTGCAGAGAAGAAAGGTGTCATTCCTTTTTGATACGCAGAAGTTGGCTAAAAGAAACATAATTTTAGTATCTCATTACAGTCTCTAAAAAGAACTCGGGCACACTGCATTCAGAGTAGTATAGGAAAAATGTTTATTTAGATTAAACATTTAATTTCAGTTAAATTTAAATGTTTAATTAAATTAATTAAAATACAAAGCAAAATTCAGAGAGGACTGAGACATTATTTGCACTCCACTGAGTAAATTTTGAGCCATGATCTTTAAATAGTTTGCTTTCATGAGCCAAAGTCAGTTTCCAAAGATCTCAGCCAGCGTTTGAGGATGAGGCCTCTTTCAAAACTTAACCCAGAAGAATCTTAAGAACATGAGAGGTAACTGCTTCCTTTGCCACTGATGAATGAGCAGTTCATCATTTTTTAATTGAATATTAAGAGAGACTGTGTGTGTGTCTGGGTGGCTTTGATATACATGCGGAGTGAGGGGTTTGATTCCCTTTGCAGAGTTTCCTGCAGTTTGCAGGTGCAGTATTTAAGATGGTAGTAGTCAAATACAGTATGTATTTCCTCAGAACTTCTGTGTTCCAATTGGCATGCCTAGATCTTCATACTGGTATTCCAGCATTGCTGTTTAAATAAAGAACTGGAGCTGGAGAACATTTTTCTTACTTCTTGGACATTTTTTGTTCAGGCACCATACTGAGCATTAGAATTTTGTCATTGCTTCAGCTGCAATTAAAAACACAAAGGAGAGAAATGGTTGTTTAGACCAAGGAGGAAATTATGCCATGAGTATGTATTGCTAGCTTTTTTCTTTCAGAAGTTGGCAGCTAGAAATAGGAGGCACTTGCCTGAGCTGTCTCTCGAGTCGCAGTGGGATTTCTGAGCCACCCATATGCATTCAAATAGCATGCAAGAGGGTGAGTTGGTAGAGAGGAAAAAGATCTCTATACTATGTCCTTTGTTTATGTTTACTAGTGGTGATACCAGTGTGAGAGAACGAAGCATGTTGCTTATAATAATGTTTCCCTAATTAAGGTGTAAATATGTTGGAGGAAGAAAGTATTGATTTCCAACTGATGAGATCAGAGCCTAAAACAGGTTAGGAAAAACATCTTCGAACAATGTCCTTTTGTTGGAAGACACCTTGCTAGAAGATGTCTTTGGGCAATCTGATTTCCATAGGAGGAGGTAGAGCGCTGGTAGGCAGTGAGTACCCTCCTACAAATCATTGCAGGATTTTGTGGGACTGCTGAGTGATTCCTGGACAACTGGGGGTCTGGCCTTCTCCATTTTCTCAAGCTTGGTGTTGGGGTTTTTTAATCAATTTTTAGTATAATTTCCTATAAATAAAATTTAACAGACACATTTACAGATTTCTAGCTTTCCAGAGAGTGGATTATTGTAAATAAAAAGTGAATGCCGAAAATGGTGACAAAATACTAGTTACGTACATCTGAAAGTGAAACATGGGTTTCTAAACCTGTGAAGTTACTCATTTCCGTGAGTTTTTACTTTTGTATTATAGGAGTGAATAATTTGGAAGGACAGTACAACAAAATAGTAATCCCCAACGAAGAAAATGTGGTCATATACTACAAAATCCGACAGCAGCTTGCAAAACTGGGTAAAGAGATCGAAGAGTATATTCACAAACCGAAGTACTGCTTACCCTTTCTACAGCCGGGAAGACTGGTAAAGGTAACTTGGTTTTTCTTTTGTTTTATTATTATTTCAAATCTCCGCCAATCCGTGTAACTTGCAGGGTTCATTTGTGTCTGCCAGTTTACCGTCTCCAGAAATCACCTGCATTACACGAAGCAACAGGTTTTACCTCTGTTAGGTTTCTTTGCTAAACGTTCAGCAGTGAGTTACAATGAATGCTGTTTTCATGGTGGGTAACTGCTGTTGTAAATATCAGAGACACGAAAAGATGTGCTTGCTGGGTTGTGATTGTACGTGGGTTATGTTGTAACAGCTTGTAATCTTTTCAGGTGAAGAACGAAGGCGACGACTTTGGATGGGGAGTGGTTGTTAATTTCTCCAAGAAATCAAACGTTAAGGTAAAATATACATCCTCTTCATTAAAATACCTTACTGCTTTTTCGGAAAATAAGATAGAACTACTTTTTTGTCTGTCATTTTCAAAGGCAAAAAAATTTCCTTTCACCCCATATTTACAAAAAGCTCAAGCCTTCCTAAAATGAGAGTTTGTCCCACCGTGGAAGGTGGGACAAACCCTAAGTCCTGTGTTCATCTTTTAGCTCTTGGTGTATTTATGGAGGAAGTGCTTGCTTGTGTCACGGATAATTAGTTCAAAAGTTTACTTGGTGCTACAAATGTTTAGTTTGTTTCTGAGACATCCCCATCAGTGCTGTGCTAAGCCATTCAAGAGAAAGATTCTGTGTTAGTTGCTCTCAGAAAGATGGGTAGAAGCTGTAAGTGAGGGTTGAGAGCACAGGCAGGCTGAGTTCTGCTCTAAGCAGAAGGGTATCTCACACTGGGGAATTGTGTCCGGAGTCCTAAACTAGACCAGGAGCTTGTCCTCTGAGATGTTGCCCTCTGAGATGTTGCTGTAGAGTTGAGGGTTGGGAAGTTCAAATACAAAGAGAGTATGACAGTGGAAGCAGATTTTGGGAAACATGGAAGAAAATACAGAGGTCAGCGATGCAACAGATGCCAGATTTGGCTTTCCTTCCAAAAATCCATTCTTACAGTTGGTCTCCACATAACCCCAGAGATGATATTTTGGTCTCCCTTTTAGAAATGTTTTGACTGGCTACACTGCTGGCTAAATTAAAGCCTAACTTAAAGTTTTTGCTGTTACTTTGGCAGGATAGCACTGGCATTAATTACTAGGTCTAAATGAGTAGTTGTCTTGGTCAGGTTCTGGTGGCGCCTGTACGCTGTGGCAATTTTTTGCGCTTCTCTAATATATATTCATTAAAGAGGAAATGAGGAAAATGTGCGCATACAGAACTTATTAACAGAGATTTTGTTTTGGTTTTCCATCTTCCTTTTGAAAGTCATATTTCTTTCTTTTTCAAGTTGGAAAACTGGACTGATACTGCTATTGCTTAAACTTTTGCTTCTAGGCTGCGTTTTTCATAGCGCCACGTGAGCAGTAAAACAGATTCCTCCCTCACTCCAGCCTTCTACATAAAATTGCCAGCTTACGTGTCACTGGAGGCATTTATTCTGACTTCGTTGTATTTTACTCACATATTCATATTCCCTTCCATATCTGGCCTGTCCCACTATTGCATCAAACCTTTAGGTTTGAACGTGAACTTTGAAATTACGGTCTGTTCTGCAGGAGATGGCTCTGGCTCCAGCAGCACTTCTTTCATGAAGGCATTCTAGCAGCTGGGTTGAATTTTTCATTCTGAGTTCTGTGGAAAGAATGACAGTAGGTGCTGAAAATTGTGGAACAGACTTAAAGCTATGCAACTTTTAAGATCAGCATGGAAAGGTTCCTTTCTGTGAGCAGAGGCAAAACAAATTACTTTAAAAAGCTAGTATTTACCCATTTTAATGTGTCTATCAATGTATTTTTGTCCTGGGATGCAGATGCAATTGCCCGTTACTGTTTAATGTAGTACAATGCCTAATCACTGTTGGAAGTATATCACTGTTACGCCATGTCTCTCAACCTTCATCTGCTTCTAAGCTGTGACAGTTTTTTGGATTTGCTTTTAGAAATGAATTCAGTCTGTATTTCTAGTTTTTCTTTCGTTTTAAATTTTCCTTCACTGTATCCTGATTTCTAATTAAGTCCTTTTTGTGGTGAGGAATGTGTGTAATTAAGACTGACATCTGGCATTACAGTATGTCTGCATTTAACAGAGTAAGTCTCTTTGTTGCAGTGTGAAAGCAGAAGCGTGAGTCACTGTCAGTTATGTTAGTTGTTAGTTATATTTAGGTGTTTTTTCAGCATAATTTCACGATGCAATGTTCCACAAAGTCGCGAATGCAAATAGCTGTTTATCCTCAGTCACATTAGGCAGTAGAATTTATTTCATGAAGTGATGCTTGCTCTGTATTGTACAGTATAGTATACAGCAAAGTAACTATTTGCTTCGGAATTCTGTAAAAACACCCAAATGTTTTTGAGAAAAGCATTTTTTTCCACTAGATTGTGCCAGCAGTAAGCTAGTTTTATTGTTGTGATGTTTATAGCCCATATTCTCATCTGATCCCTGATTCTGGACAGCAAAGTTTTGTCTGCTAACAGTTACCGATGTTAAAATTGGAGATGCTGCAATTTGGTCTTCCTTAGTTTGGATGATTATAATCCTGGTATGTTAAGTTTACATGCTTAACTACTCATGTTTGTTTATAATGCTGACTACAAAAAACATCGGGTTTAGTGCTGTGTCATGGTCATTGAATTTTTAGTGAGTATGATGTTGTTGGTTTGGGAATCTGGATTTGTTGTGTGTGCCATATTTCTTGATTTGCAGATGTGGTCAGCTGTGTTAACCATGTTTCTGTAGGTACATAAAGTAGTAAATGTTACGGGGAAAATCTAAAATCCCTGGAATACACCTAATCATGCAATATTCTGCCAAAGAGGGCAGAATTTTATCCTTGAAGCGTGAGGATTGATGCAGCATGAATGAAAGGACCATTTCAACTTGATCTGACGGATACGTCTGTGACGAACAAATTTTTACCAAGTGTTCTAGCTTCCTTTTACTCTTGCACATAAAAACACAGCTGCTCCTGTTCACGGGTTTAGTCCCTAAAATCTTGTAGGAAACTCACTGAAGGGAACAGCACACATTCAAAAAGCAGTTCTAGATTAGGTCATGTCGGGTCAGCAATTGTCTAAAAGCCACTGGTCGGTGTAAACCTCTGGAGGGTAGCGTTAACAGCAGGTGTGAAGGACATGCATAGCCCTGCCTTATTCAAGGGTTTGCAGTACAGTTACTGATAGCAGTATTTTTTCACTCTCGTTATTTTTTAGACATCTCCATTTCTAGTGTTTTCTATAGCCTGTATGTGCAGCTGTGAGTTTAGTCTCCTCCTTGCTCAAGCCAGCACTGTGCTTTCCATGGCTTTGGCTGGGTACTGATTCGGTATCTGTGGATGTTACTGTAAAATTCTGATTTAGAGAAGAGCAGTGGTACAGGTCATGTACATTGCATCAAGTTCTTTCTGCAGATGTAGAATTCAGAGGAACGGTTTCTTGCCCAGCAAGTAACTGCATTTCTTGAAGAATTATGTGTCTTGTAGAACAGGATAACCCTGTTTTTTCTGTTTAGTTTACTATAACAGTTTCTTCTAGGACTTCTGAGAATCTCTTAGAAATGCTAGCCGGTTCCACCCTGCTTTGCATGCAGTGAAAGAAAATACTATGTTGTAGATATGTAATGAAAAATACTGAACTGAGTTAATGTGGAATTTCGAAACGACTGTTGTATTTGGAAGGAGAGAAGCTTGCCCATAGTATTTTAAAAGATGACGTCGTGTCAGGCCTATAACGTAGTTCTATAAGAATACATGCTTATAGCAGGAGTGCATGTGAGCAACCTCCGTGTGTATTGATCCAGTCAAATAACTGATGTCAGGTTTTTTTAAAGCAGTGTTTAACAAGGTTTATGGCTTTGTGAACAGCAGTCTTCAACCACTGTATCTGCACGTTTGTGTTCTTTGAAGAATGTCAGATGGTACGTGTGAAGTCTGCGGTGTGTAAAGATGTGGCCTGCATGACGCAGCGTCCTGTTTGCCGCAGATAAAAGCTGTTATGCTTGAGAGATTCTTCTGTGGTCTTTATCGTGGGGGAAAACTTCAACTTGCAAACCTGCACATGAAAGAGATCTCCCTAATTTTGTTTCTTTATGAAAAAAAAAGGCAAAGTCCGGTACTGCTAGCATGATGCAAATACATCTTGCATTACATTTAACAGAAGATGTTGGCTTACTTTGAAAGAGCTGCATCTAGGAGAAAAGGCAGAAGCACCTAAAGCTGCAAGTAGACAGCAGCTACACTGCTACACTGGCAAGGGAGGATGGGGATGGGATAGTTTTTTCAGGTGTGTCTTTCTATGTGAGGAATCTTTCAATCAACGCTGATTGAGCAGTTTTGAAAATATACTGCATCACTGAGCTGATACTCTGTGAAGAGCAGTAACTCATTTCATACCTTTAATAGTGAATAAAGTCATGCTTTTTCCTTCCCTTCTTGCTGGTGTTTTAGAATAACTGCTATGTACCTGTTTTTTTCTGTGCCCTGAACAGCCAAACTCTGGTGAATTGGACCCATTATACGTAGTTGAAGTGCTCCTGCACTGCAGCAAGGAGAGTTTGAAAAATTCTGCTACTGAGGCTGCAAAGCCAGCCGGACCCGATGAGAAAGGAGAGATGCAGGTTTGTTACACGTTTATTCTCGATAGTTGCTTATAAATGTTCTAAAAGATTCTTCCAAAGCATTTGAAAATGGTGGAAAAAGAGGGATTGATGCATTAAGGAAGAGAAAGGAGCTGTACACTTACCTGTGCTTTCTTCAGTTGCTGATTTCACTGAAGAGGAGACTCAGCAGGGTGAAAAACATACTTGAGTGAATCTGTTACCATGTAAAAAGTGCTTTGACACTTACTTTTGTGTTACATATTTCGAATCATTCAGTGAAAGACAATAGCAGTAATGTAAATGAAGTTATGAAAATTACCTATGAATGGATAATGGATATCTGCAGATAATGGATATCTGCAGATAAACAAGTGTCTGTAAGATATTTTTTCTTGGATACTTGTGCAGGATTTTGTGGGTAGTGTACATTTGTTTTACTAGATTTGAGAATTCCGTTAGAACCTTTATATCCTTGAGTCATAAATTTTCACACTGCTGTTTGGCACTTTCTTGGAGCAGTATCTCCTGTCTCTGGGAACAGTATTCCTTTTAATTTCTCACTTTCAGACCCCTTCAGCTTTGCGAGGCTATCTCATCCTAAAATTGAATTTTTTTTGTGAAAGCACTTACATTATGGGAGATCTTCAGTTTGAAACCCTGTATCAAGACAAAGAATTACAATTTTCAGATCAGAGACAGTTGTTTTATTTGTCCACATGGCTTTTTCCCAAAGTCAGTTAAAGCTTGAGGCACGGTAGTGATTCTTCATGGTGTCTTCACGATTTTGATACTTAGGAATAGGTATTTGCTGATTCAGTGTTCTCTGTTGTGAGCGCCCCTAGTTAAGTATACAACCATAACTTGTCTGGTTTGGATCATAAGTTGTATTCCAGTAAGTAAGAGGCAAGGTAATAGAAAAACAAAGTTTTTTTCCATTTGTAACATCTCTCCAGATTTAACTGAACACAGACTTTTCCCATTTGGACAAACTTACTTTTGTTCCTTGGTAATACGTTATCTCATTACCCACATTTTCTTGCCTTCTGATACTCCTTTACCCACTGCTCTGTCCTTGTGTACTCAGTTTTCCTTTTCCTTTGTCAAGTTTTGCTATGGCAATAGCTGTGGTAATAATAGACACATTCTGTACTGATTTACCAGCTACTGCACTCTCTGTGATAGGTTGTTCCTGTTTTGGTACATCTCCTCTCAGCTATCAGCAGTGTCCGACTTTACATACCGAAAGACCTGAGGCCTATCGACAACAGGCAAAGTGTGTTAAAATCTATCCAGGTAAGGTGGACTAGGCTGTGCAAGACCTCGGCTTTGGGTAGCGCGGTACTCTCAAACCCAAGACAACTTGTCCTGAAGGAATTTGTCTACAGCTTGTGTCATATCATCAGACTTATTCTCAGAGGGGGTTGGAAGCCACAGTGTGTTGTTTGTCCTTGTCAACAGTCATTTAAACTGGTTTTGAAAATTGCTGAAGCATCACATAAAAAACTTGCACTACTGCCTTTTGTGTCTTACAAAAAAACGTTGTTTATTTTAGGAGGTACAGAAGCGATTTCCCGATGGAGTACCATTACTAGACCCCATTGATGACATGGGCATCAAAGATCAAGGGCTGAAAAAAGTAATCCAGAAAGTAGAGGCATTTGAGCATAGGATGTACTCACATCCTCTTCACAATGATCCCAACTTGGAAACCATATACAAACTTTGTGAAAAAAAGGCGCAGGTAAAAATACGAAAAAACCCACCGTTTGGTCAGCTGAAGAGGGAGGAGGCAGTAATAGTTCCCTTCTTGCTTGATTTTATTTTTATTTGCAAAGAACAAATAATCCTTTTTAAACAAATAAACACAAATAATCCTTTTTCAGTGCAGTAAAATGATTGTATCTCAGTAACAAACTGAGTTGGCAGTGATGGGGTGTGTTAGCTGGGGGAGTGCACCGCACAACCACTGTGCTGCTGACGTCCCCCTGAGCCGACTCCCAGCCAGAAGCAATACGCTTACGTACCCTGAGGGTCGTAGCCTGCTGGGCTGAAACCGGTTGCAGACAAAACCAGCTCCTGCATTTCTGTGCTGCTCCAGAAAAGAGGTTCTCCAGGAGTCGCTTCGCAGAAGTGAGGAGGTTGTGGCACGGGCAGCACAAAGCTGCCGGCAGTAAGACCTGACGGACCAAGCAGGCTTCTGCGAGGGTGTCAGCGCTGCACATCCCGCCATCAGGATGTTGACTCTGCAAGGCACTGGAGAAGCTCTAGTAGCAGGAAATAATGCCTTTGGGTTACATTTGGTTGAATATTTGGTTAGCTGATACAGGTCTCAGGAGATGAATGCTCATTTCTCAACCAAAGGTTCCTTCTATATTTGATTTGGTGTGGGCTGGTTGGGGTTTTTTGCCTGCTTCAGGTAAATGGCTTAACCTCCCAAACTTGCTAGAGTTGCCTATGGGTAAATGGAGCTGATTTTTCTTTTTTTAATTTGTTTTAAACCTTCCTTTTAGAGTTAGATGGGTCAGTGTCAGCTGGTGTGTCCGTACACCATTGTTCTGAGGCCTTCATGCAGGTTAAACAGTGTCTTTAACACAGCTGCATCTGTTAAACTGGAAGATGTAACTTCTCTCCTCCTGCCCCCCCAGATTGCTGTGGATATTAAAGTAGCAAAGCGAGAACTGAAAAAAGCCAGAACTGTCTTACAAATGGATGAACTCAAATGCCGCAAGCGTGTTTTGAGGAGGCTGGGGTTCGCCACGTCTTCAGACGTCATCGAGATGAAAGGACGGGTCGCCTGTGAAATCAGCAGGTAACGGGTTTCTGTGCAAAATGGTTATTATCAGGAATACCCAGTTTACTGTCCTCGCTGAAATGAGTACGTCATCCTTGTATTGTAAAGTTCTGAGGCCGTTGGAAAGATTGTTCAGAGACTGTGATCGGTGGCGTACAGGGGATGTGCTCATTGAAGCAGGAAGGATAGCAACTTGAGGACAAAACACAGTAGATTTTAAAACTGAAGCGTGGACGTGAAAACGCCAAAACTGGCTGTTTTCTAACGCGGCCGAGGCAACAGTGTGTGTGTTTTCATTTGGCACTGTACATGAGACGAGAGGATGGTCTCATTTTTGATGCTTCCACCTCCCAGGACTCTGGGCACAGAGGCACTCACAGACATGGGGGACGGTGATTGTCAGCGACTGGCAATCGCTGACAGGCTTGGAGTACAGCTTAATTGCTTCCGTAGGGCATTGGAACAAAACTGCACAAGTGATGCATTTTACTATAGTACGTTTAGCAGGTAAATTACGTATAGAAACATATTTTAAAGATTCCATGGAAACTCATGAATCAGACTTTAATACTTGGGAGTGTAACTCAGGTTTTGGTAGAGCTGTGTATTTTTAAGTTACAGTGACTGCCGTATTCCTTGCTTCAGAGACTGTTTGGAAGATGCTGCCTATATTTGTTGGATGTCTGATAACTTTTCCACTGCAAAATTTGATAGCAAATGTGGCAGCTGAATCAGAATTGTATCAACTTCCTGACTTTTAGGAACTGTTTGCTGATGGGTTACACTTTTCTTTGTTAAAAAAAACCCTTTTTTTCCCCATCCTATGCATTTCTCCAAAAAGAAAGGTGTGGTCTTACCAACAATTCGATGTTTTACCCAAATAGTATGTTTGGATTTTGCATCCATATCATGCACTTCCTTTTGTAGTTCATGATTAAGTGTTTATTCCAAAGAACAGAAAATTGACACGTTTGTTCCTCTTTTCAGTATCTTGGAAACACCAGCTGAATCTTTTCTGAGCAGCCGCGGTACCAATTTCAGTCTTTTTCCTAAGCTGCCTAACTCTGGTTCTTTTAAATCTCCTGGTCCCTGACTGATAAAAACTGATTAAAGCAACTGTTAGTATTGGCTTTTGTGAACTATCAGGAGAGATGCTTTGTAGTTCAGTAAGAGCCTTTAGTTTCTTTAAAATGGTGTCTCACACTAATTAGCACCCCCCTTAAAAAGCTAATACATTAGCATCTGGTGCTCCTGCAAGAAAAACTGAAAGTTACTATTTGTTTGTGTATCCAGTTGCTTCACAACACAGATTAACAGTACTTCATTTTAAAATTACACTGCAGTAAGTCTTATCCCTGACCCTCCTCCTCTTTATTTTAGCGCTGACGAACTACTCCTGACGGAAATGATATTCAGTGGTCTCTTCAACGACTTATCTGCAGAACAGGCAACTGCACTGCTCAGCTGTTTTGTATTTCAAGAGAATGTGAGTTACTTCTTCAGTCCATTGATTCTAGATGTTCCTGTCTACAAAATGTACTGCACCTTATTCAGTTCCAGAAATTGGCCGTAACAGTACGACCCATTGCACGTGGGGTTTTTTACCCTTTCCTAAGGTGTTTGGCATGAACTCCCGCTGAACTTAGCAAAAGCATTGCAGCTTCAGTGCTAGAGTGTCTTTCCTCGTGAGCGACATGCCGCACGTGTTGTAAAACTGTGGTCCTCGTCATGAATCTGCAACTGTTCCCTCCTCCTGAGGCGGTGAAGCAATGTTAATAGGTTCTGGGCATACCTGCCTCTATTTCTGGATGTATACACACACACACATCCTTATAATTTAAAATGTAGGAATATTGTTTTAAAGGAGAGTATCTGCTCACGTACTCCCAGGTGAGGGTATCTCTAACTGGGAGACATGTCCGTCTTACGTTATTCGGACAGTGCCCTCCACCTGTCGATGGGAGCGGCCGTACCACATGGAACCC